TACTATTCTACCTGACAAATAGTAATACGGCGATCTTTCAAAATGACAGTGTCTACTTACTGGAAGGAGGGAGGGAGGGAGGGAGGGAAGGGAGGGAGGGAGAGGAGAGAGAGAGAGAGAGAGAGAGAGAGAGAGAGAGAGAGAGAGAGAGAGAGAGAGAGAGAGAGAGAGAGAGAGAGAGAGAGAGATTTTATGGGAGACTTTGTTCGCCTGGGATAGGAGCCATTTCCACGGATCCGACCACACCTGAACTGACATGCCAAGGTTTAAGAATGTCATATGATGGGGCGTCCTCCCCATAAGCTTATTTCATTTCATCGAGAAGGTCTCTTGTGTGCAACCATTAGTTCCATTCCATTCTCAAACCTGATCCACTGACTCCATTTTCGCCCTTACTGCACCTTAGCGGACAGAAATCATGTTATAAGGACTGGAAATCATCACAAGTCCTACATAGATGTATATCTTTATGCTTGTGAAATTTTAGCTTAAGCGGGAGTGGGTCACGAGAAATCTTTAATGAGCGCCCCTCACATGCCCTCATATGTATGTATGTATGTATCTATGTATACATATATATTCATAAATATACTTATATATACATACATACAAACATATACAACTCATACACAAGATAATGAGTGTATAAAGACAAACAAATGAAGATTTATATTATGTGCTAAAGGCGCATTTGGTTCGCTCTAGATCCACGGCTTCGAACTGCCAGAGAAATCCCGATCGGCCGATGCATGAGCAGGTCAGGCCACCTGGGTCCGAGGTCACAGGGACGCCAGTTCACATATCCCTAGGGAGGGGGGGGAGGGGAGGGGGAGGGGTTAAGCCATGAGGTCACCCCCCCCCCCCCCCCGAATCTTAGTAAGAAGCGAAGCCAAGCCTAGACTGTGCTTGAGGCGAGGTGAGGGAATGTCCTGCGGGCACTCGGGACAGGCATCGAACCAATGCCAGGTTAGGGAATGAATGGCACCGGTTAATTCATCTTATCGGTGAACTGTTCATTTGACCTCTGCTGCCCCCTCCCCCCACCCCCCCACCCCCCATGGCGTCCCTGGCTCCACGCAGGATGATGATATCTTGGTAATTCTTTTGAACTTGATAAAAATGGAGTTTGCATTATCCTGCGGCTTGTCTTCGAAGTGGCACAAGGACGCTCGCTGGCTGCCAATGCCTGACCCGGCCGGCAGGGGCGTCTTTTTATTTTTATTTTTAATCATTATTATCATTTATTTATTTATTTATTTTATTTATCTTTTTATTTATTTATTTTTTTGGGGGGGGGAGCAACCGACTCGAACAACAGCAACACAACAAAAACAAAAAAAAACATATATTCTAGCGGCATTCTAGAGATATCACCGGACCTACAAAGATGTAAGTAGTAAAAAAAATAAATAAATAAAAATTTGCCGAAGAATGGGGGAACAAGACCTTAAGGAAAAAAACTGCAAAACCATAAAAAAAACGTACGCAATCCTCACGAAACGTTTAGAAATCCACAACCTCATTCAGACTCCAACACCGGACACCTCCTCGTAACGCAACTGCACTCACGAACTCACGAAACGCACTTCACAAACCTTTCCCCAAAGAGCCCGAGGCGTCGTGGAAAGACGAAAAAAAAAAAAACTAACCCGTCCCTCACACGCCCACCTTCGACGCTTCGACGAAAAACCGAAATGGGCGCAAGATTCCCCCCCCCCCCCCCATTTAAAGCTTCGATCCGGATTTTTATTGCCTTGATACCTCGGGGGGGGGGGGGGGGGGGGGTCAGCGAAAGCACGACATCCGGCCATGCGCGGCGCCCGGGACAAACAAACACGAAATTTAGGTCGGCGCCGCGATTACGTTTCTGGCAAAAAATAATAAAAAAATAAAAAAAAATAAATATATAAATAAAAGAAGAAGAAGAAGAAGAGTAGAGAGGGAGGAGAGGAGGAGGAGGGCGAAAAGAGAGAGAGGAGAAAGAGAGAGAGAGAGAGAAAGAGAGAGAGAGAGAGAGAGAGAGAGAGAGAGAGAGGAGAGAAGGAGAGAGAGAGAGAGAGAGAGAGAGAGAGAGAGAGAGAGAGAGAGAGAGGAGAGAGAGAGGGAGAGGGAGAGAGAGAGAGAGAGAGAGAGAGAGAGAGAGAGAGAGAGAGAGAGAGAGAGAGAGAGAGAGAGAGAAGAGAGAGAGAGAGAGAGAAGAGAGAGAGAGAGAGAGATCGCGAGAAGAAACAAAAAGAAGTTTGATTTCTTCCATGTTATTCAGATAAGGTTCAATAAGGAAATTGCAATTTCAGACGAAGTGTCTACAGTGACAAGAGGACAGCAACAAAAAGAACAGATATGAATAAGGCGAAGAAGAGATTCAGAGAGAAAGAGAAAGAGAAGAGAAGAGAAGAAGAGAGAGAGAGAGAGAGAGAGAGAGAGAGAGAGAGAGAGAGAGAGAGAGAGGAGAGAGAGAGAGAGAGAGAGAAGCAGAGTCAGAGGAGAGAGAGAGAGAGAGAGAGAGAGAGAGAAGAGAGATCTGAGACATAATGCGAGAAAAAAATAATTATGTGTACCGAACAAAAGGGGAAGAGAAGAATGAAAGAGAAAAGAGAGAGAGAAGAGATCTGGGTCGTGATACAATGGCTCGGCAAAAAAGAGCATAAATCATAGAGAGGAAAGGAGGGAAGGGGCAGGGAGGGAGGAGGGAGGGCAGGGAGGGGAGGATGTGAGGGCAGGGAGGAGAGAGGGAGAGGGAAGAGTGAAGATTGAGGGGAGAGAGGAGAGAGAGAGAGAGAGAAGAGAGACGGGGGGGAGAGAGGGAGGGAGAGAGAGAGAGAGAGAGAGAGAGAGAGAGAGAGAGAGAGAGAGAGAGAGAGAGAGAGAGAGAGAGAGAGAAGAGAGAGAGAGAGAGAGAGAGAGAGAGAGAGAAAGAAAGAGAGGAAAGAGAAGGAAGAGAAAGAGAAAAAGAGAAGAAAGAGAAAGAAAGACGAAGGAGATCTTCAGCTACCTTCAGGAAAATCCCCAATCCATTCCACCAATCCTGATCCCTAACCCAAGGTACTGTCCCTTCCGGCCGAGAGACGCCGACAAACGCAATTATATCCTTTCCTTAACCCTCTGGCAACGAAAGGCAGATATATCGAATAAAAGAGAGAGAGAGAGAGAGAGAGAGAGAGAGAGAGAGAGAGAGAGAGAGAGAAGAGAGAAGAGAGAGGAGAAGAGAGAGAGAGAGAGAGAGAGAGAGCAGAGAGAGGGAGAGAGGGAGAGAGGGAGAGAGGGAGGGAGGGGAGGAGAGAGAGGAGAGAGAGGAGAGAGAGAGGGGGAGAGAGAGAG